TATATATATATATATATATGTATGTATGTATATAGATTGGTATATTACGGAACCAGCTCTAAACTTTCAAGCAGAATGGTTATTAAAGAAATACGGTATATTTTAACAGTTGGGCCGCACTGTTGTATCTTGTAATTGCGGAGATAAATGACTCCACATCGGACGGTGGAAAACACATCAGCTTCCATACTTCCCCTTACCAATACGCCGCTTTACGCCATCTGTGCTGTTGCTCCTTCTCACTCCCAACTCCCACCGATCTTTCTCTCGTGAAGCACTTCCTTTTCCCGCCCTATTAAAACTCCTCAATGCAACTCCAAATGATCTCTCAATCTCACTTCCTTTCTCTAAATCCCCGCACCTCTATACCTCTTTCCTCATCAATCTCCGTCGTTAATAGCCGGAGAATCGTCTCCGATTCACTTGCTTTTCCACATTCCGGTACCAATTCGTTCGCAATCTCACGCGGAGTCAAATTATCGTTGCCTACGATGACTTCGAATTGTGTGCTCGCTAATAACGCACATATCGCTGATTTAGGAATTGAGGACTCTGAGCTCGACAAATTTGCTGCTGTAGGTAACAAAATGGCCGATGCTGCTGGTGAAGTTATCCGCAAATACTTCCGGAAAAGCTTCGATATTCTCGATAAAGAAGATTCGAGTGAGTCTTTTGTTGATTTTAATTTACGCGGATAAATTGCTTGCGAATGTTAACTATCCGGAGAATTTTTTTCAAATGTTTGTGGAAATTTATTGTTAAAGGTCCGGTGACGATTGCTGATCAAGCGGCAGAGGAATCTATGGTGAAGATAATTCAAGAGAATTTCCCTTCCCATGCAATGTGAGTTACTAGTTTTTGCTCTCACTAGTTTACTTATTGCTCGCTTTAATATCGCTATCCTTGTATACACTAACTAACAATGTAAAAATTCTTACCAGTGATTTTTATCATGTCATTTACTATTTTTATCTGATTAATAATTAATGTCTATCAAAATTATTACATGTAAATAGTGACCTAATCGTGTAGATATTTTCTATGATGTCCATGCATAGAAGTTAGTCTCTCCATTTTTCACTTCTAATTGATCGATGAGTAGGCTTCCCCTTTCGGTTCACAGAATGTGATTTTTTGACAGCATTCGAGAGGAGTATTCCCTATTCCAATATGTGTGCATGTTAAAATTTTAAACTGAATGGCCTATGGATGGACCGACCATTTTCAGCTTGGCATTCCTGTTGCTTTTAGCTCAGAATGGCTTATCTTAGTATGACGGTTAGCATATGATATTTGTCAACATAACCTCACACTCGCCATAGGGAAAGAAAGGCACTATCTCGTTGTGGTTATGTACTCGCTGGAAAACTTATTTTGTGACATGCCATATCTCATTCTATCGAGAGCCGAAAGATAAATCTTCTAGAAAAAACCGCAGGCAGTACAGTTAAAATGGATCTTATTTGCTGAAAAGCTCCCGTGCTTTGAACTTTGATAAGACAGTAATAGAATACAAGTGAATTTTCCACAAATTTTAACTGGTAGCCCAGTCTATCTGCTTGTGTAGGATCGTCCTCGTGGTAGCTGAATACCATTCACACTTTTAATTCGATGGGCACAAGTCAATGCAATTATTATATTTTTTGTTCTTGATATTCTGTATTGTGTCATCACCAGTGTGTTGGAATAAAAATGGAAGGCTGTCTTTCAATGCCATTGAAGCCTTAAACATTGATCAAGAGTTACAATGATGCTTTTCCTGATATCTATATTGGAGACCTTTTGTCTCTGTTTCATGTATTACACAATCTGTGTACGCTTGCTGAAAATCTGTGTTTGAACTGCTTGGTGATAGTTATGGAGAGGAGAAGGGATGGAGGTGTAAGGACGAAATTGCAGAGTATGTTTGGGTTTTAGATCCAATAGATGGGACGAAGAGTTTCATTACAGGTACCTGCTTGTCTTTCCCATATCAACTCTGTTTAACTTGTAGTTCAAATATTCATGAATCAGTATACTTTTTGCTCACCAGGGAAACCCTTGTTTGGCACTCTTATTGCTCTGTTGTACAAAGGTAAACCGGTATGAATCGCCAGCCAGTTGATTTTATTTTTATCATTAATAAGCCTTGTTTGCTATTAGATCAATGAAAGCTTGCTTATTAGTCCTGTCAACTATCAATTTTTCTCCAAAACTTCATTCTTGTCGA